TTTTTTTTTTTTTTTTTTTTTTTTTTTTTTTGCAGTACATGGGCCTCTCACTGTTGTGGTCTCTCCTGTTGCAGAGCACAGGCTCCGGACGCGCAGGCTCGGCGGCCATGGCTCACGGGCCTAGCCGCTCCGTGGCACGTGGGATCTTCCCGGACCAGGGCACGAACCTGTGTCCGCTGCATCGGCAGGCGGACTCTCAACCACTGAGCCACCAGGGAAGCCTCAGATACTTTAAATATTTTTGTTTTTTAAATAATTTTCACTGATTTTGATTCTTCTGCTAGGGATGGTTCTGTGGACCTCCTTATGATACAATACCAAAACTAATCATTTCCACTCAATATTTCTTAAGTATGGAAACAAACATTAATATGTAAATGAAGCATTAACTTTACTGTACATTGAAAATTTTACTGAGTACTAAGAATTAGGTACCAGGCTACATATTAGCTAGATAAGTAAATAAACTTTTAGATTTTTGTATTTTCCAACTTTTAATTATGTTAAAGAATGGGATTTTAAATCTTTACTGTTTTTTAAAATTAAAAAAATTAATGGCACATTTAAAATCACTGAAACTTCCTTAAAATTGTTTCCAGGGTTATTTCAAATTTTAGCTTTATAAATAAATTTTATTATAAAATCGTTGGAATTTAGTTCTTGGAATATATGGTTAATTAAACCTTCTTGAGAGAATCTTATTTAACTCTTTTCTTAAACAGACACACAACTACCACCACTATTACCAATTAGAAACCTGCTAATCCAGACAGTTGGGACTGATTTACATTTAATGAAGCAGAAATTGTCATGTGGAATCTAGATATTTTCTCCATGACACATGTTGACATTCACTCAAAATCAAATTATTAATCTTCTATCTATCTATCTATCTATGTGTGTGTGATCTTTAAAAAAAAGTATTATTTAAGCAATTCTACATAAATTTCCTATTTCCTATTTGTGATAAGATGTTTCTCTTTTAGTAGATATGAAAAAGACCTAGGTAAATCCAAACACCCACAATATCAGCATATGAAATGATCAAAGAGTAATCACAATGCTTCAAACTGATTTCAAAACATTTAATTATTTATTCAAGGCCTTTAATAGAAAACTACCATGTAAAATGCTTTCTCTGAACGTCTTGGGATGACTGAAATATGAACTGGACATTCAATTTAAGAATCCGTGCCTAATCAAAAACTCTACAAACAATAAATGCTGGAGAGGGTGTAGAGAAAAGGGGACCCTCCTACACTGTGTTGGGAATGTAAATTGGTACAGCCACTATGGAGAACAGTATGGAGGTTCCTTAAGAAACTAAAAATAGGGTTACCATATGATCCAGCAATCCCACTCCTGGGCATATATCTGGAGAAAACCATAATTCGAAAAGATACACATACCCCAATGTTCATTACAGCACTATTTACAACAGCCAGGACTTGGAAGCAACCTAAATGTCCATTGAGGGAGGAAAGGATAAAGAAGATGTGGTACATATATACAATGGAATATTACTCAGCCGTAAAAAAAGAATGAAATAATGCCATTTGCAGCAACATGGATGGACCTAGAGGTTGTCATACTGAGTGAAGTCAGTCAGACAAAGACAAATATCATATGATATTGCTTATATGTGGAATCTAAAAAAAAAAAAGGTACAAATGAACCTATTTACAAAAGAGAAATAGAGTCACAGATGTAGAAAACAAACTTATGGTTACGGGGGGGGGAGGGATAAATTAGGAGACTGGGATTGACATATATACACTACTATATATATATACAGATAACTAATAAGAACCTACTGTACAGCACAGAGAACTCTACTCATACTCTGAAATGACCTATATGGGAATAAAATGTAAAAGAGAGTTGATACATGTATAAAAAAAAAAAATCTGTGCATATACCTCTCCTGGTTGGAGCAGATATGTAGCTCTTATTCTCCTACCTAGTCCCATGTAAGAACAAAAATTAACCTTATCCCAAACTTAGAACATTTAATTAGATAAAAAATAAACATAGTGGATTTCAGGAAGATTCAGTTAATAAAAGATATATCTTCTAAAGTATCCTGAGGTAGAGAACTTAAAGCAAGAACATTACATATTTTAATTTTTCAACTTACCTGATATAAGTAATCTTCAAATACAAAATAATAATCATCATTGCTTGCTGTCAATTTCACATCCTGTAATTAAAAGTAGAGAGCACTGAAGAGAACCTAAATGAATATGTCTATAGTACTAAGACATAAAGGCAACATCTAGAAATAATACTGCAATGACTTTATTTTTATGTATGATTATAAACTTCTCAATTAGATTTTATCACTAGAATTATCACAGGTAAACTTATAAATATTTTTTTTTTTTTTTTTTTTTTTTCTTGCGTTATGCGGGCCTCTCACTGTTGTGGCCTCTCCCATTTGCGGAGCACAGGCTCCGGACGCGTAGGCTCAGCGGCCATGGCTCACGGGCCCAGCCGCTCCACGGCATGTGGCATCTTCCCGAAACGGGGCACGAACCCGCGTCTCCTGCATCGGCAGGCGGACTCTCAAGCACTGCGCTACCAGGGAAGCCCTAAACTTATAAATTTACTTGACTAATATAAGTGACACATTATTTGACTACAAATTGTTCACACTTTTTTTGGTTCCATTAGTAATTTTTTATTTCAATTTTATCTCCTTTAAATCTAATATTTAGGTGTCTTAAAATTAGAAAAGGAGATGCAATCACAACATCCAAAAGCAACCATAACAATCTGGCCTCAAATTACTGTTCCAATCTCATCTTCCACTATTCAAACCCACATTCTTGCCATTCCCTCAAAATACCAAAAATCTTTCATGTTTTTGTGATTATTCACTTGCAAGTCATTGCTTGTTAGCAAACAAACAAACAAACTAGACCATGTTTATCTTCAATCTCACCAGCAAGAAAACATACATAGTAGAAATATCGGAACAGTTACAAAGAAATATTGCAGGAATCTATGATAATATTACTCAACCTACAAAATTCAATCAAAGCAGCAATTACAGGAGGATGAAATGAGCTGTGGATGACTCTGGAGGTAGTGAATGTGTGCTAAGCTTGGGAAAACTGAAAGACAGACTAAGAGGAAAGAAAGGAGCCAGTCTAAGTCACAACGTGGGCAGAGGTAGAGATCATGCAATCTCAACGAGGATGATATTGCCTCTAAGGGGTGAGACTTCGTTCCTGGGGATCAAAAACTTTTACATAGTACAATGGTTTGTGGACCTCCAAAGCTTATCCTTACCCACCAAAATCTTATTCTTTGGTATTTAATTTTTTTATATTAGAGAAAATTTTCTCTTTAGGGATAATAATGAAGAAAAGGTTGAGAAACACTGATATAAACTGACAGGTCAACTGTCCATCATAGCAAGTGGTGGAAAACTGTAGATGGTGTGGATTCAAGGCAAGTTTGTGGGAAAAAAACACAGTCCAGAGAGAACCATTAGATATTTTAGCTTAGGGAGGGTTTGATGGTGTTCTGTATATAAGCATTGCCTTGTTTCATTAATTTCTTTAATCACTAAAATAATTCTACTTTACTTTCAGTTAAATTAAAAATGAGCCTTTGCCAAAGGGACTTGTAATGAAACTTCAAATAATTTTAAAATGCTCATTTCCTCAAGGGCTGACTTTAATAATGTTTGGAGTTGTTCCAATAAGATCAGCAGAGCTCAACTAATACAAGTCAGAAACAACCAGAGACAGATATCTTCCTGAAAACACTCATGTTGTGGACAGTCAGGATTGATTCTAGCAGAACTTATATTCAATTCTTCAGACACAAACTGTTTACCTCTTTCTCATGACAGATTTGTTTTTTACTGATTCTAACTGAAATTCATGTTGGCAGCAAAGAGAACTCTCATGCTAGCACTCTTGGATTTTTTGAACAACTTCTCTTGTGAGTCTTCTCTCATTTGAACAGAAAGGAGATTGAAGGTCTTAAAGCCCAAAAGATCTCTTAGGCTGTTGTTAAAATAATCCCCTGAGCACAATCATTTGACCTCAAAGTTAATAGTAGTACCTGTGATCCAAATCTATGTAAAAACTTCTGTGAGAGTCAAGACTTTTCATCAAAAGACTGCATCCTCTTAAGTTTCCTTATCTTTTCTCTCTGTAGAGCACAGTGGTTAAAGGTACGGTTGTGAAGTCAGATTACCTAGATTCAAATCTTGGCTTTGCTATTTAATATATGAATTTAAACAAATTTCTTTACTCTTTCTTTACCTCAGTTCCCTCATCTGTAAAATGGTAAAATGATAGTACTTCCTGTTTTGCTACAACACATGTATCAATATGTGGCTGGTGAGTAAGGGAATGATGGCAGTATAACATGAAAATTGTGTTCATTCATATGCAATTTTTCTTTAAAAAAGGGAAGCCAGAACAGCAGAAGTAGAATTATAACCTTCAGCAG